ATATGAAAGTAATTATGTATATATTTGTGTGTGTATGTATGTAATTGTGTATGCATACATGTATCTATGTATGTGTGAATGCATACATATGTGTATGTATGCCTGTATGCTTGTATGCATGGGTGTATCTATGTATAGATAGTTAGGTAGATACCTAGATAGACAGATAGTTGAATAGATATATATATAAGGATAGAAAGATGGATATATGTATCTTGTGCATTCATTTTGTCGACTTCTATTGATAGGCGAGGACAATGCTTTCCGCGTGCTAGCCAAATACATTGGCGTATTTGGTACACCTGAGAATAAGAGTACCACTGTGGAATCAGGTGAATCAGAGCCCATTGCCATGACTGCGCCGGTCATTACTACTGCTGACGTAAACCCTGAACGGCATCTCCATGACGGCTTCTGGTAAGCTGATATATACACTCGAGTATACACTTATATATATATATATATATATTGGTAAAGATACACACACAAACACAAACATATACAAACATACTCACACTTATATTCATATACATATATCCATATCTATACCATATATGCCAATATACGTTCATAGATATAAAATTTGCATATATTTGTATTTATATATATATATATATTTAAACATATATACCATTTATACCATTTATATACATACTCATTCTATAATACGTGTTCATATATATGTTCATGTACTGATCATATACCTATTGATAATCAAGTTCATATTCATATACTTATGCATACACATATACATATAAATACATATATATACACATATTCAATACTAGTATATACGTATATATGATTTCTACACCTGTATGTATAAATAAAAATAATATTTATATATATATGTATATATATATATGTGTATATATATATATGTGTGTGTTGTGTGTGTGTGTGTGTGTGTTTGTGTACATAGATATACATCTATATCTATATCTATATCTATATCTATGTGTACATATATAAATATATATATATTTATTTATTTATTTATTTATTTATTTATATATGTACACATAGATATTTATATATATATATATGTATGTATGTATATATACGCACGCGCGTGTGTGTGTGAGTGAGTGCGTGAATGTGTATGTATATGCATAATTACATATGTATCATAGTTGTATATCCGTTGTATCTGTGCTCTTCCCAGTAGCTGGGACATTTATTTCGGTCTCCTACGACTAGTTTGGTGAAAGGATGTCTACATACACAGGTGAGATTCCCCTACTGCGATGAACATAAGAGAAACTCACTCGCTGGTATCTGTTGGTCGTATAGTCACCTGGTACACAAGTGCCGGGTCTTAGGGTTTTAGAATGTATGTCATTTCGCATCGGTCTATGTGTGTAGTTTGTAGTTGTAAGAGTCGGTTGGTTGACTCACCTGTGGCCTTGGGATTTCTTTTGTTTCAGTACCTTTTAGGGTTTAGGTGCCATTACTTGATGTTTCTTATGCCAAGCATAGTGCAGTGGCGTCTACGCGATCTGATTGGTGGAATTTTAAAACCGCCATGCGGGTGAGACTGCACTTTGTAGTTGATCTCCGGAGAGTCTCACCTACGTGGCAGTTTTAACGTTCCATCGGTGGGAGTGTATGGACACCACTCACTATGTTTGTCATGAGGGGCAGAGGGGGACCACTTACTGGCGCAGTACAAGGCCAATAGTCAGTCAGGTGACGAACCCTACAATTCTAAACCCTATATGGTTTCTCCTGCTCCCTAGTGGTCTTGCGTTTACATCTCATTGGTGGCTGTATTACTTCGCAGTGTCCCTTATAACAAGCATTGTGCTGCCGTGTCTTTGTGATTGTACTGTTGCAGTAGAATGATTGTTGTGCGCGTGCATTTTTCTTTCGTGAAATACAGTAGCAAGTTCTATTGTTGTTAATGGACAGTAGTAAGTTGTATCGTAATTCATATACACCCTTTTACAAAACCTGTTATCAATAATTGGATGATATTTCATGAAAGTTCTCCGCCAAAATTCATCACCTTCACCCCACAGCAAACCGGAAGCCGTTGCCATGACAGCACCGGTGGTCAGTACCCCCAAGAACCACGAGGAGAAAGAATCTATGGCATTTCTGCTACCGGCAAAGTACACTCTACAAAATGCACCCAGGCCGAATAACGAGTCAGTGCGTCTGAGGGCTGTCCCCAGTCGATGCGTAGCGGTGCTCACGTATTCGTAAGTACTGTGGTTGTTGGTGTACGTTTGTTCACGTATTCGTAAGTACTGTGGTTGTTCGTGAGCGTGGGATTGGTTCTGTGTGGATGTGTGTGTGTGTCGCAGTTGTGTGCTGGTCTGGCGTGTGGTGGGTAGTTGGTGTACGTTTGTGTGTGCGTTGGAGCAGTCGGGTGGATTCACCAGTCATATGAAATGATACATGAATGCACGTGCGTAGAACTTATACTATAGATGCAACCTGGAAACAGTCTCAATGGATACCAAGTGCTGTCCAGGTGATGTGATGGGTTGGTGAGTACTGAGTCCCCACTGCATCAGTTCCGTTATAGTTTATATGCTGTAATAGTTTATATGCTGTTATAAGTTTTATGATGTTATAGTTTATAGTTTATATGCTGTTATAGTTCATATGTTGTTATAGTTTATATGCTGTTATAGTTTATATACTGTTATGGTTTATATGCTGTTATAGTTTATATGCTGAAATAGTTTATATGCCGTTATAGTTAATATGCTGTTATGGTTTATATGCTGTTATGGTTTATATGCTGTTATAGTTTTTATACTGTTATAGTTTATATGCCGTTATAGTTTATATGCTGTTATGGTTTATATGCTGTTATAGTTTATATGCTGTTATAGTTTTTATGCTGTTGTAGTTTATATGCTGTTATAGTTTATATGCTGTAGTAGTTTATATGCTAATATAGGTTATATGCGGTTATAGTTTATATTCTGTAATGGTTTATATGCTGTTATAGTTTATATGCTGTTATGGTTTATATACTGTTATGGTTTATATGCTATTATAGTTTATATGCTGTTATAGTTTATATGCTGTTATAGTATGCTGGATTTCGATTTACGACACTGCTTCCGTGCTTGTGCTCTGCTTGATTGTAATAAGCGATACTTGTTAGCATATGTCTCTCTGTACCTGTATTTGGCTATGGACGAAGAGTGGGGGATATGGACTACACACTCAATTGATACCAATTGTTACATGGGCACGCACACAAACACCCCTTGTCTACCACACGTATAGTTTGTATTAACGTATTAGGAGGTGTGCGTACTCACATGGCCGTATGTGGATATATATCACACCCACAGATACAACACCACTATGGACGAAGCGCGTGAGAAGAAGGACCGGCTACTGCCCACATTTACAGCCGACGGTATCACAGCGCTGGAAAAGGGCCAGAAATGGACGCTTGCACGCTACAACCCCCCCTTCACTCTGCCCTGGATGAAGACCAATGAGGTGCACATAGAGGTGCAGGACAAGTGGCTACAACCCTCCCTTCACTCTGCCCTGGATGAAGACCAATGAGGTGCAGGACAAGTGGCTACAACCCCCCCCCCTTACTCTGCTCTGGAGTGAGGACCAATGAGGTGCAGGGACTAAGTTAGGTCTAGTAACCCCCCCCGTTNACTCGTGCCCTGGAGTGAAGACCAATAGGTA